GTGGTGCCGTCCGCCATGTTGAAAACTTACAGTAAGTGAAGATCTCGACGTCTATTCATAGGTAATATGAAATCAAATTCATATAGTAGGCATTTGCTAGAGGGCTAGGTTACATAAGTTATCATTGTTTCAGATGGCAAGGAATTTGTAGTTTAAGATGGGTAAACGCTGTATTTGGAGGCCCACGTGAGCACCCCTGCACCCTGTCCCGTCCTCTCACAGTCCTGACCCTGTTCTCCCTGTAGGTCAACTACCTGCTGGGGAACATCCTGCTCACTGTGGCCTTCCCACAGCCTGCCATTGGGGAGAAACAGCTGGTGTCTGGGGACCTCTTCATCATTGCATTTGGCATCCACTTTGTCATCAAGCTGCTCAATTGCCTGGTGGAGTTCGCCCTATGTAACACGGTGACCAAACGCCTCTGCTGGATGTATGATATCCTCAACATGGACCCCCTGGGATGGACTGACAATGACACTGGTGGAGGAGGAAGAGTCAGCATGGCCCGCCAGGCCTGCAGGGATGCTCCCCCAGATGATGAGGAGGCCTTTATTCTCTCTGGAGATGCAGGCATCCCAGCCAATTGAACTGTTACTTATCAATAATTTTCTTATTGGTTGAATTTTTAAAGGTTGTCAGCATAATTGTCATGAAATTACCATATTTCCGAGTTTTAGTATAGGTTTCAAAGTCTGTCAGGTTTTTCCGAATCATTTCTGGTATAAGAACTAACTGATATTGAAAGAAACACCAGCATCATCTATCAAAAAATAAATCAACATCCTGTATTTCAGCCATTCCCAAAGTGGCCAGGGGCTCTGTGAGTGCCAAGGACTCTCAGCTCAACCTGAGTAACACCCCCCCCTTGGAGACAAGCCCCAGCCCTTGCTGTCAGCCTGGCAGCCCAGTGATATGCCCTTTGAGGAGATGGATGAAATGCCAACAAAGGCACTGTCTTCCCATGCCATTATCAGGTTCGGTAATTACTCTCAAACTCTCCACACTTCATTTAATCAACATTATACTAATTGTATTGTATTGTAATTCTAGTTATAGTTTATAAATATAGGGTAATTCTTTGCCATATTTCATTATTTTTTCACATCTTCCAGCCCCATTTCCCCATCTGCTGGGCCAGGGAAGAGACAGAGGCGCCACACCATGGTGTTCAACAGGGAGGAGATGCCATTTAGCAGGCAGGCATCACTGGCCTCTAAGACTGAACTCATGAGGCAGAACCTTGCCAAGAAACGCCTCAGCCACATGGACGTAGAGACCTCCACTGCAAGAGTTTGCCAAGATCTCAGGCTGCAGAGGTATGTATTACATATATCTAGTGATATTTGATGCTGTATTTAGTGATGATTTTAAGATAAGTGTTTATAACAATTGTTAGAGCTTACACATATAGGTAATAGGTAGGTTGTACATAAATATAACATTCAGGTAAATTTTTTGAAAGGAAGCAATATGACAAAGAAATAGAATATTGATGTATAAAATTTTGTTGCATTTGCATGTAATTTCAAATTTAATTAAGGTTGAATCTCAGTTAAGATATGTCATGTCCAAAATATATCTATAATTTGTAATTGTGTCAGTAATCATCCCAGGTCACAGTCTGATACCAGCATCTTGCAGACCAGTGACAACATTAACAATAGCAATGGCACCAGTGGTGATCCTGAGACTGGCAACACCAACATGACAGCAAGGTAATGCAGGGGACGGGAAAGGCGACTTATATTTTTATTTTATTATTCTATTTTTTAATTAAATTATATTTTATTATTATTTTATTTTGATTTTTCACATACAATTCATTTATTTATTTTTGTAAAATCTTTCTTCCTATTACAGAGATGACGCCAGTGCTATTTCTGCCCATCACAACGTTGTACAACAAGGCAGCATGATAGATGGCGCCATCAACCAGAACAGCATGGCAACTGTGTTTGAGCAAGAAGTTATAAGAAAAGGAGTAGAAACAAGGGGTTTCCTTTCATCCTATCCTCGTTACGGGCTTAATCCTCATAATTACCCAGCTTGTGGTCTTGAGGAGAGCTTGTGCCTAATACATATTCAAAAGACCGTCCACGTGGGTTGCTTCAGCCAATTGGGACAAAGTCTCGCGAAGTCACTAATAATCTCACATAGAAAACATGGTGGGATTACAAAAAGGTGTAGAGAGAGATT